GGGAGAGGACAGACAATAGAGCAGCTGTCTTGCCCTGGCACCCTGCATACCAGCTGTCCACTCTTATCTACACACACACTTTCTGGGATATTAAGAGGTGGGGCTTTGTGCATAGAATTGGGAAGTGGGGGAGGAGGGGGAAGACTTCTGACCCTCTCGTAGAAGAAAGGGGATGGGGTGGAGGTGGGGGCTTCCGAGTGCCCTTTTGTCCTTGAGCCAGTGTGTTAAGAAGAATGTTCACCCTAGGGCCAAGTAAAGTCCAGAGCTACAGGGCGGGTGGGTTAGGTCACTCCTCCCAGAGAGGGGAGGCTAACTTAGCTAGGACTCATAGGTTGAGCCAGGACTGCCTGTCCCAGCCCCAGGGAGCCCGAGCGGGGAGGAGAGGGCCGCTGACCACGTCCCAGATGAAGGGCCGACCGTGTCCCAGATGAAGGGCCGACCGTGTCCCAGGGAGCCTGAGTGGGGAGGAGGTGGGGGGCCAACCATGTCCCAGGGAGCCTGAGTGGGGAGGAGGTGGGGGGCCGACCGTGTCCCAGGGAGCCTGAGTGGGAGGAGGTGGGGGCCTCACCGTGTGTCCCACTCACTTACAGCCCTTTGCTTGCCTGGGTGTGATGAGCAGCATGGATTCTGTGACAAGCCAGGGGAGTGCAAGTAAGTCTGCACAAATTGGGTTTTGGTGTCTGTCCTCTGTGCCATTTCTTGCCCTCCTGCCCTCGGCCTATTTTAGAGCATCCCTGGGTGGTCAGGTGGACAGAACCCAGTAGGTGAGCTGAGGGGGGGGCTGCTGTCAGTGTTTGATATTTGGGAATGTCCATGGTCTGGGCTTGCAGTGTGTCTAAGCGCCTCACTGTGGTGAGAACGTGCAGAGAGCAGTTTGCACACAGTGGAAACAAAAAGCAGGTTTTGGCTCTCAAACTTGGCCATGCAGCAGAGTCACTTAGGGAGCTTCCAGAAACACTGACCTCCAGGCAGCCCCTCACACTGGGTCGGTCAGACCGAGGCAGGACCTGGCACTAGGTTATTCTAATGTCCCCAGGCAACCCAGAGTCCTGTCTCACTTGAGAACCAATGGCCACTGGTGCTGGGAAGCAGTGGAAGGCACTCCTGCCAAGGGAGTGTCCCATGGCCCCCAAACACTGTTCTGCTCTTCCCCAGGTGCAGAGTGGGCTGGCAGGGCCGCTACTGTGACGAGTGCATCCGATACCCAGGCTGTCTCCACGGCACCTGCCAGCAGCCTTGGCAGTGCAACTGCCAGGAAGGCTGGGGGGGCTTGTTCTGCAACCAGGGTATGCCTCCTCCCTGCTGCCCGCCCCTTCCAGAGCAGCTCTGGTCCCTGGCTCTTGGCCACTAGAAGAATAAGGTCTCCCAGTGGCTGACATTGGCCTCCTGTCTCCTCGCAGACCTGAACTACTGCACACATCACAAGCCCTGCAGGAACGGAGCCACCTGTACCAACACGGGCCAGGGCAGCTACACCTGCTCCTGCCGCCCTGGCTACACGGGGGCCACCTGTGAGCTGGAGGTTGATGAGTGCGACACCAGCCCCTGCAAGAACGGAGGGAGCTGCATGGTGAGGGTAGCACCTGACCTCACCCTGCAGCTGGGAGTCTTGCTTCGCTTTGAACTCGAGAGCGTGGGTTTCTCAGAACGATGCTGGAAAGCTTTCCCTGATGTCTCTGTTGTGCAGGACCTTGAGAACAGCTTTTCCTGCGCCTGCCCACCTGGCTTCTATGGCCAAGTTTGTGAGTGGAGCGCCATGACCTGTGCCGATGGACCTTGCTTCAACGGGGGACGGTGCGCAGACAACCCCGAAGGAGGGTACACCTGCCACTGCGTGGCCGGCCACTCTGGCTTCAACTGTGAGAAGAAGGTGGATCACTGCAGTTCTTCCCCATGTTCCAATGGTAAGGACGCAGCAGCATCGCTCAGACTCTCCAGCTGCCGGCGCCAAGAACATGCTAGAGAGCATGTTTGCTGGGTTCCGAGTGAAGCACACCGCTCTGTGAGCTGCCTCATATGTGAAACTCGTTTATCCAGTCAAGGATTCTCTGGAAACATCACCTGAATGTAGAAATGCCGCAGGATTCAGAAAGGGAGACGGGCAGGCGTGTTCTCCTATCCTGCAGGGAAGCTGAGACCAGGAGGTGGGCTTACTTCCTCAGGGTCACAGGCTCCCCAGTGCTGGTGCTGTCCCTAAGACAGTAGGTCACACTCAAGGCCATTCGATCTCTGCTTCCGGAGGGAAGCCCTGCCCTGAGTCACCTGCTCGGCAGCCTGGCAGGTCACAGGGTGGGGAAGCGGGGCGAGGGTCTCCCACAGGATGTGACGAGGTGAGATGCCCAAAGCCTGCTCTCTGGGGAGGTTGGGCCTGAGATGGAGGAATGTTCTAGAATAGTAGTGTTTCCCTTTCCCCTGGCCCCTGCTCTCTCCTCTTTAGTCTCTGCTCACCAGCTGTGACAACAGGTGAGCCTGCCATACGGCCGGGGCTTGGTGGAGTGCCCCTCGTTGGTCACTGTGGAGAAGAGTGTGGTGTCAGGCAAACCCTCTGGCCGGTCCTCAAGTTGTGGAGAAGTTAGCCCTTGCCACTGCCTCGGCTCGAGCACTAGCCCTGGGCTGTCGCCTTAAGTGCTGACCCAGCATCGGCTGCCTGGGCTTGTCTTTGTATCTGTGGTGTCCCATAGTGACAGGCTCAGAGGGGCTGCTCAGGAGGCTTGCCTGGCAAGCAGACCGGGATGAGGCCCATGACTGACTGTGTCCCTGTGTTCCAGGCGCCACGTGTGTGGACCTCGGTGATGCCTATCTGTGCCGCTGCCAGGCCGGCTTCTCTGGGAGGCGCTGCGAAGACAACGTGGACGACTGTGCCTCCTCGCCCTGCGCCAACGGGGCCACCTGCCGGGATGGTGTGAACGACTACTCCTGCACCTGCCCTCCTGGCTACGCGGGCAGGAACTGCAGTGCCCCTGTCAGCAGGTGTGAGCACGCACCCTGCCACAACGGGGCCACCTGCCACGAGAGGGGCCGCCGCTACGTGTGCGAGTGTGCCTGGGGCTATGGAGGCCCCAACTGCCAGTTCCTGCTGCCCGAGCCGCCCCCAGGCCCTGTGGTGGTAGATCTCAGTGAGAAGTACGTGGAGGGCCAGGGCGGGCCGTTTCCCTGGGTAGCCGTGTGCGCCGGAGGCGTCCTCGTCCTTGTGCTCCTGCTGGGCTGTGCTGCCATGGTGGTCTGTGTCCGCCTAAGGCTGCAGAAACGCCGGCCCCCAGCAGACCCCTGCCGGGGAGAGACAGAGACCATGAACAACCTGGCCAACTGTCAGCGTGAGAAGGATGTCTCGGTCAGTGTCATCGGGGCCACGCAGGTTAAGAACACCAACAAGAAGGCGGACTTCCACGGTGACCCCAGAACTGGCAGGGACGGCTTCAGGGCCTGCTACCCTGCTGTGGACTACAACCTTGTGCAGGACCTCAAGGGTGACGATGCTGCCACTGTCAGGGACACACACAGCTCGAGAGACACCAAGTGCCAGCCCCAGGGCTCTGCAGGGGATGAGAAGGGCACGCCAACCACACTCAGGGGGTGCGTGCTGCTGGCTGGGGAGGAGGGCATGGTGGGAGGACACTGGGGTGGCACCCTGATGTCCAGGGACCATAGGAAGGGCATGCCAACACCTGGGGGCAGGAAATGACCCCGTATTGGTGCCTTCTTTCAAGCCCTGCCATCTCTATTCAAAAGCGTTTCACAGGCCAGCCCCCATGGCCTGGTAGTTAAGAGAGCGGGACCCCATGTGGCTGGCTGTGGTTCAGACCCAGGCCCTGGATCTGGGAACTTGCTGGTTGTGTGTGCACGCATGAAATCACAGCCCGGTCGAGAAACAGGAGAAGGGGTCATGGTGTGACCATGCCCCACCTGGGGCGCGCTCCCCCTGGCTGTCTCTGCCTCTGCCTGTCTGGCCAGTATAGGTGCCTTCTGGCAAATACAGAAAAATACTGCACGTGTTTATTGTGGTTCTTTCCGGTTTCCCTTTCAGTGGAGAAGCCTCTGAGAGGAAAAGGCCAGACTCCATCTGTGCCCCTTCAAAAGACACCAAGTACCAGTCGGTGTATGTCATCTCGGAGAAGGACGAGTGCGTCATAGCGACCGAGGTCAGTGTGCCCTCGGGACCGGGCAGGGAGCGGCCAGCGCGGACCCAGCCTCGCGTAACTCCCTGTTCTGTCTGTGGCCTCTCCAGGTGTGACTGCAAGTGACGTGGCAGAACCCTGTTTCTCTTAAGATAATAAACTTGCAAGGGTGGGTGCCCCATGAATGCTGCTGAGGGAGGCCCAGCTGCTGCCGAGAGCAGTCCGACTGCGCTGGTCCCGAGTCAGCAGCGCCGGCCCCGGCCCGCGGGCTCACGCGTGTTCCGTTGCACTATGGACAGTGGCTTCTCAGAGAGAATATATTTAAGGAAGGGCTTAGTGACCACGTAGGACGCATGCACTGCCTGAGTGGGTACCCTGGATTCCTATGAGCCTGTCTTCTCTCGAATTAGAAACACAAACACTGCCTTTATTGTCCTTTTTGATACTGAAATGTGTTTTTTCTAGATGAAAAAAGTGTGTTATTTTTTGGATTTGTAAAAATATTTTTCATGATATCTGTAAAGCTTGAGTATTTTGTGATGTTCATTTTTATAATTTAAATTTTGGTAAATATGTACAAAGGCACTTCGGGTCTATGTGGCTATATTTTTTGTATATAAATGTATTTATGGAATATTGTGCAAATGTTATTTGAGTTTTTTACTGTTTTGTTAATGAAGAAATTCCTTTTTAAAGTATTTTTCCAAAATAAATATTATGAATGACACCCAGATGTTCAGCCTGCTTCCTGTGCCCTCGCTCCCGCCACACTACGCAGAGCCCCCTGGCAGCCGTGCCTCAGCCTCCCTTTTCCATCAGCCTGGCTGCACCAGAGTGTCCAGAGGGAGCTTCTGCCTCCCTCAGCTCGTCACCGGCCACCATGGGGATACAGAAGCTGGCACAGCTGGAGGCTGCTCGTGACTCCCGAGGGCGGCACTGCATGGGCTTCTTGGTGTCACAGGGAAGTCCCTCCAGGTCTGAGAAGTTTCAGAGAGCTGGTCGTTTTCCTTCTGAGCCTTATATTCTTTCTACGGACTGGAACAAAGTCTCATTTGGGATCAAATACCCATGAAGCATCTTCACATGGCCATGGCAAAAGCTTTTGTCTTTGTGAGTTTATTTGTAGTTAACTCAAAGAAGCTGGCTGCTTTCTGATTCAACCACAGTTGTGACAGGACAAGTGATAGTGAAAATAAAAGCACTCCTGGGGCCGACAGGTGGCATGGTGGTGAAGGGCGTTGTACTCCCACATGGGAGTACTGTAGTTTGAGTCCTAAACCTGGCAGCTTGCTTTCTCACTTTCCATCTCTCTCTCTCTCTCTCTCTGGTCAAGAAATGAAATAAGTAAATAAAAGAATTATTTAAAAAGAAAAAAAAAAAAAGAAAAGCAGTCTTTATCAAGCACACTGTATGCCAGGCCCCATACCGTCTTTAGATGAATTGCTGTTCTCCCTGGTGTTCACAAGGGAGGCATTGTCCCGTGGTACGGGTGAAGACACTAAGGCTTAGAGAGATGAAGTTCCTTAAGGGATTGTGAGTTGGGAAGTGGTGCCCACATTGGGGTGGTTAGGCTCCAGACCCTAGTTTGATTGTGAACAACTATTTGTCAGAAGCTCGGCTTCTAATTCCCAATGAGGTATGGGGGTTTAATCCAGTCCCTCATGCATGCAATTTGGTGGTCTGTGGCTGTGGGAGAGTGCTCGCTCTCCAGGATGAGAAGCCCATGGAGGGAAAACTGGCTTATTTCTGGGCAGAGGGTGGGCAATGGAGCAGAGCTGTCCGAGTCTCCTTAACCAAAGGGAGCAGGCTAGGGCATTCACCTCTGCCCCAGGCCACCCTTTTTTGCTTGTAAGTGAATGTGCCAGGATCCAGTGGAGTTGACTAAACACACTAGAAACCCAGAACATCCAAATCAGTGTCTCCAGGACACCACTCTCCCCACCCTGGTTGGACAGCCAATGTGGCCAATTATGGAGTAATGAAGTCATGTCTTCCATGGGAGAAACTGGGGCAAAGCTGGCCCCTTGGCCCTCGCCACCACCCACTCACCCTTGGGTACTGCAGCAAGTTCTAAATGCACAGGGAGGGCTCAGCGCTCCCTTCACAGTCCCAGAACTAGCTGACAGTGTGAGTACCTGCCTGCCCCAGTTTGCACAGGGAACACTGGTTAGCCTGGAGTGGCGGTCAGTCTCTCCACTTTCACTTTTGGAAATAGTCTGGTTTGGGTAATGAATTGCCAGGTCATCAGTTTTCAAGAATATGTAACACCCTGGGACTCATGTAAAGCCCACTCATAAAAGAGCCTTGTAAGTTTTAACGATAATCTCACTTCCATCTTCCCCAACCTTCTTGTGAAATCGGGAGTAAATTCATCTTCTGTCTGTGGCATTCAAGCTGCTGGCGTAAGGAGCCCATGGTGACTTGCGGCACCAGCTCTGGTGTGCCAGGCTCTGCTGGCGGGGTCCTCCGCCCTTCCCCAGGCTGCTGTTCGCTTTGCGCTCGATGGCCCCTCAGGCCTCCGGGTTAGAACAGCCCTGTGAGCGTAGGCGTTACAGGCCAACCGTGGCCACTCCCCAGACGATGCCCGGCGGACCAGCCTTCACGACAGTCTCGGGACCATATAGCTTTTCTCTTCAGCTATGACATGAGGAATGAGGAAGTGACGCGATTACACTTCGTACGCTGAGGTGAAAATAGACCCTTAGCAGGAGTAACGCTGGGAGCGAGCTTCAGCCTTTTCATGTCCGAGAAGTGCCCAGCTTGGCTGAGGCTGGCACAGCAGGAACGACTTGCCCCAACCTGAGCTGGTGGCAAGGACACCCTTCCTGGCAAGGCTACCTGCCCCGAGCCACTTCCTGGGCCGTCTATGAGGCCAGGCACCAGTGTGGGAGGGAGGCCGGGCATGGGTGCTGCCCTGAGGGTTTACCTTTCAGTTTTCACTTGGACATGATTTTGGACTTCCAGAATGTGCCAAGAATAGTACAAAGAATCCCTATATTTAAATACTTGTTGAGTGGCGATTTTCTAGTTCCATCTCCAGGGAGGGCAGTGTTTGAGGTGGTGTGATGGCCTCGTGGCAGGCCGATGAGCATGCGAAGACGTCCACAGTGTGAGTATAGGCTGTGTGCTCTGGGTGTGTGCGTCTGCGCACAGGGTGAGAGGCTGGTCTGTGCCACTTCTCTGTTCCCAGGTTTATTTCTCTCTCTTCCTTGAGCAGTAAGAACGGGTCAGAAGGCCCTCCTGACTAGAGGTGGTTCAGCCTGGAGTGCTCGGGGAGCAGGGACTTTCCTGCGAGGCTGCCCGGCTCTGCCTGTGCTTCTGTGGGTGACCACCTCCACGCACACTGCCCCTCTCAGAGGGTGCACAACTCCTGCCAATTCCCTGAGCACTTCCGCGCTGCGTCCGGGTCTGGGCTGTGGAGGGACCCACGAGGCAGACACTCCCTGTCCCACAGGGCCTCCAGGTGACCCCTGGGGAGATGGCTGGCATGGAGCCCGCGAGGCTCTGTCATTCTGTCGTCTGAGCCCACACGGGGTGTGCTCACTGCCGCGCAAAGGGAGCGTGGCTCTGCAGGTGGCTGAGGCCAGTGGTCACAGCGCAGGGATGTCTGTGCTTCTGGCTGAGTACTCGGGCTGGTTGGGCTGCCCGGGAGCCCCAAGGCCTTGTCCTGGAGCGCCTATTTCAGGGACTCTGCCAAACCTTGCAAAGAGAACTTGACTTTAAAATTTGTCACTCGAACCAACCAATACATAAACAGAACTGCTGATATTTATAATGCAGTGGCAAGACTCTCAGCTGGAGAAAGAGTACTGTTTTCTATTCTTTAAATAGAAAAGCACCCTGGGGCCAGAAGGTGGCACGGTGGTTCAGGCACTGGACTCCCGTGTGGCTGACTGCACGGTTTGAGTTCTGGGCCTGGTGGCTTGAAAATCACACCAGGTGTGTGTGCCTATGTGACTAAAATCCTAAGAGAAGAACAGAGGAGAAAGGATTGTGGTGAGCCATCCGCCCCGGAGACTGATGTCTCACTTTCCCTCTCTGTCTCTGCCCTGTAATATTTTATTATTTCTCCTGTGGTTTTTGTTGTTGTTGTTGTTTGTTTGTTTGTTTTTAGACATTTAAGTTGTTTCTGAAGGCTGGTAGTCTAATATTTCATTGAACATTCAGGTACATGAATCATTGTGGTTGTCTCTCATTATTAGAAGTTTCTAAAAGTGGATTGTTTTTTTGTTAAAAGGAATAAACCTTTTAAAGACACTTAATAGATACTTATAAATTTGCACTAGAAAATGAATATTAAGAGGCCTGTAAGTGGTGTGGTGCTTAAGGCAGCTGGACCCACCTGGCCAACTGTGGTTCGAATTTCAGAACTGGCAGCTTGAAACTCACGCTGGACACGTGTGTATATGCCCAAAATTCTGAAAGGAGAATGAAGGAGAAGGGATTATGGTGTGGTCATCCCTCCTGGGACGTGATTTCTCACTTTCTGTCCTTCTGCCTCTCTGGTGAGAACATGCACACTATAGCAAAAAATCTCTCAAAAAAGAAAGAAAGAAAGAAAATGAATACCAATTTATAATCCTACCAGCTGTTCTTCATCAATTATATGTTTTATAATTTAAAAAATCACTTTGCATTTGCGAATTTGAGGAGTGAAAACAATCAATCAAAGTTATTTTAATTTCCTAGAGAGCCATTGGAGACCTTGTGCCTGTGCCCTTCCTCACCCACCAGGGAGGACCTGCCCTGGAGTCTGAAACATTCTGGGAAGGGTAAGCATTTCCTTCTAACTGAGGCGCAGAGGCCATGTGCCCCTGAGCGCCACGTGACCCACCAGGCCCAGGTCTGAGTTGCTGCTACCACGGCGAGCCAGGGCCTGACAGGATGCTTCCTCTGGAAGGACCGCTGGCCCTGCTGCAAAGTCCCTGCCACAGACTCCCTGAGCACATGCAGAGCGGCACCCCCTGTCTGGGGCTTCCCTCGGGGGTGCTCTCTGCCTCACTGCTAAAACTAACTCCGTCTGAGGTGGGACGCGTGTTTGGTGAGGCGCGGTAACTGTAGCGCGCCCGGGCAGACGGCACGCACCATCGCACATGGCAAGCAGCCTCGCGCCCTGGGCCGCTCCTGCTGCCAGGCCATGCCAGGCTTGACTGGCTGGACAGTCATGTACGTCTTCACACCTGCACCTGCTACTGCTCACACTGCTGTGCTCACACTGTGCTCTTCAGGGACACAGCCACCGGGCGGGGAGCGCCAGACTGTCCCTGCAGCCAAGAGAGGCCTGGAGGGTGGCAGCCTCCCCCTGGTACCTGGCCTCTCTGCTCCTTCTCTGGCTAAGTCCCAGACCCTCTGCTAGGGAGTATGGGACAGGGAGGTGCCTTCTCGACTGCCCACTGATGGGCACTGTGCCACCTTCCTCTCCACCGGCAGCTCGTTAGAACACACTGTCACCGTAGTGACGCCCAGAACAGGGCCTGGGGTGATTGGCGGGGCTGGGTACTGAGGGCTGCCAACTTGAGTCAGGTCAGGGGTTGGGGGAAAGGTGGGTAAACAAAGGTCCTCAAGTCTGACTGTCCTCCCAGCTGCTCCCCCACTGTCCTGAAGACCCCCGGGATGGGTCTGGGGAAGATGGGGGAATGGCTTCTTCAGCACAAAGCACTCTCTTGTCCCTCCCTGCCTGCCCCTCACACTCTCTTGACTTTTATTTTCTGTTTTGAGGGAAGTTCA